GGGGCAGCAATCTGCCCTGCTGCTGCTGCTGAGGGAGCAAGGGTACCTCTGAATATTCTCTCGGGTTCTGCTGGCTCCCATAGGGGGGTGTTGTTGCTGTGGCAGCGGCGGGGTGCTGTTGCTGCAGCACCTGTAGCTGCCGCTGTGGCTGCGGTGGGGGGTGCTGCCGCTGTTGCTGCCGCTGCTGCAGTTGCTGCTGCTGCTGCTGCAGCTGCTGGGTTATGCTGCAGCTGCTGTTGCTGCGGCTGTTGCTGCTGCTGCTGCTGCTGCTGCTGCTGCCCTGCTGCTGCGGCTGCTGCGGGCCGTGGGGCTGGCCGTGGGGCTGGCCGCGGGGCTGGCCGCGGGGCTGGCGGCGGGGCTGTCCGCGGCGCCGCCAGCCGCCGCCGCCGCCGCCGCCGCCGGCGGGGGGCCGGCAGCGGCGGCGGCAGCAGCAGCAGCAGCGGCCGCCGCGAAGGCAGCCGCGACGCCGGCCACGGCGCGCCGGGCCGCCGCTGCCGCCGGGGGGGGGAGCCGGTGGCGGCGGGCAGCGAAGGCGGCGGCAGCGGCGCGGCGCGGCCGAAACGCAGGCAGCCGCGGGGCGGCGGCGGCCGCGCCCCCCGCCGCCGCCGCCGGCGGGGGCCGGCAGCGGCGGCGGCGGCAGCAGCAGCAGCAGCGGCCGCCGCGAAGGCAGCCGCGACGCCGGCCACGGCGCCGCCGGCCGCCGTTGCCGCCGGGGGGGAGCTGGAGGCGGCGGCAGCGGAGGCGGCGGCAGCGGCGGCAGCGGCCCAGCGCCCGCGGCGCCAGCGGCGCCCGCGGCGCCCGCGGCGCCCGCGGCACCAGCAGCGCCCGCGACGCCCGCGGCGCCAGCGGCGCCCGCGGCGCCCGGGCGCGGCGGCGCCCGTGGCGCCGCGGCGCCCGCGGCGCCCGCGGCGCCTGCGGCGCCCGCGGCGCCCGCGGCGCCCGCAGCGCCCGCGGCGCCCGCTGCGCGGTGGAGCCCGGGGGGGCGGCGGCAGCTCCAGCAGCGCCAGCGGCGCCGGCGGCGCCCGCGGCGCCCGCGCCCCGCCGCCGAGCCCCATCACCCGGGCCCGAGCGCCGCACCTGAGCAGGGACGGGCTCAAGCCGAGACGGCTTGAGCCAGGCTTGAGCCAGGGGGGCTACGGAACTGGTGGGGATACGCACAGCGTCAAGAATAGTGAGAAAATCCAACGGGAAAGCTCGATCTCGGAATACATTGTGAGGAGGTATCAAGCGGCAGCCGTTGTTGTTGTAACTCGGGGGCCACGGGCCCAGCTTGGTGACCCCCAGCTTGCCCTTGTAGAAAACAAGGTGCGGGCCCCAGGAGGAGCCCCTCAATGGAAAAAACACAATGAGCCCCGGAGGGGGGGATCTGCAATTCGCCGGCCCAACGGGCCAGGGCGTGCTAAGATCTCCGGTACCTGGTTAACAGTATTTCTAGTTCGCGCGCGCGGGGCGGCCCCTGGGGGTCCCCGGACGAAAAGTACCCCGGCAAGGTCCCGGCAAGGTAGGGCCAGAGACGCCGGAGCCCTGTTACATGGCCCCAGGACGGGCCAAGAGGTCCCCAAGAAGCCTCCAAGACGGTCCAAGAGGGCCCCGAGACGGCCAAAGATCGCCCGAAGACGCCCAACAGGGCCCCAAGACAGCCCAAGAGGCCTCCAAGACGCCCCAAGGGCCTTCCAAGAGGCCTCCGAAGAGGGCCCCAAGAGGCCAAAATCGTTGATTTTCATTGTTTTTTCTATGTTTTTTGCGTTCTGGCTTTTTCGGCTTCCGGACGCTCCAAGACGGCCCAAGAGGCCCCCAAGACCGCTCCAAGACGGCCCACGAGGCTCCCAAGACGGCCCCGGAACGGCCCAGGAGGGCCCCCAAGACGGCCCAAGTGCCGCCCAAGACGGACCAAGAGGCCCCAAGACGGGCCCAAGAGGGGCTCAAGAGGGAACCGAGAACTGAAAAATCGAGCCCTCCGCCCCAGAAGGCGCCCAGGAGGCCCCAAAAAGGCCCCAAGAGGCCCCCAAGAGGCCCCCAAGACGCCCCAAGAGGCGCCCAAGAGGCCCAAAAGAGGCCCCAAGAGGCCCCCAAACGGCCCCCAAGAGGCCCCAAAACTCGGCTAGCCCACAACGGTGCGACAATATGGGCCGGCGGAATGAGCGAAGCGATTAAATAATTATTCTTCAGAACAACAACAAGAACAACAACAACAACAACAACAACAACAACTACAACAACAACAACACCACCACCACCACCACCAACAACAACAACAACAACAATTACTAGCACGTGGGGACACTCCGTTCTCACCAGTGCCAAGGTTTTCATACGACGCCCGCCAATACCCCCACTTTGTGGGGGGGCCGGTTCAAGCTCTACCACATTTCCAAACGACTCTTCGCCACCACCCACACCCAGCTTCCCGCCCTATGACGTTCGGACACTTCACTTCGTGGCCTGCGGACGACCGTGGCTACTACACTGGCGCATGGGTACAGTGACTTGTTGTGGTAACATTTTCTGGACGCTAGCTTAGTATACGACTTTTCCCCCTGTTCCAACACTGGACACCTGTACTGGTTTTTGGTGGTAACGTGTTCCTGACGCTAGAATAGGAAACCACGGTAAACCAGTACGACGCCGGTACTGTCTGTAGGTCCTACAATGATATGGACTGCTTTGGCTGGTGAGGCGCTAGCGTCTGATACGACGTTTTTCCGTTTCTGTACCACACAAGCGAAGACACTTATTTTGAGTGGTACCACGTGGGTGGCGCCAGCATACCACAGGACTTGTTTCCGTTGTTGTGAGACGATACATGCTCATTCTTGTTCTGTGGTTGTCGTTCCGGCCTCAATGTGCAATACTGGCTCATTCGTCTACGAAATACACGTGAGTAGCTCTCTCTGGTTGGAGGTCCTGATGGTTGTGGTTGTCCCGATGGTTGTCGCGATGATTGTCCCGATGGTTGTCCCGATGGTTGTTCCGATGGTTGTCCCGATGGTTTTTTAGGATTCGGACAGCGCGCGCGGGTAGAAATTTTGAAAATTCGTACAGATGTTTTTCGAGGACCTACGGTGCGATTCGTATGATTTTATGTTGCGCGGTGCTAAAATTCCTAAGAAACCCAATGGTTTTTGAAGATTTCGGCGTGCGCGCGCGAAGAAAAAACGAATGTGTCCCGCATGGTATTATTTGACAGGGATGATGGCCCTGGCAGGTGCGCAACCGTTGTTGGAGAAGTTCGAAGCACGTGAAAAAGTTGCTAGCAAAAGCCCGTTTGACAGAAATGTTTAAAAAGTGTTGGGTTTCCTACAAATCCGCAAGAGCGCGCGGGATGAAATTTTGACATTTTTTTTGTTGAAAAACCATTGGTTTTTTGATGTTTTTATGTTAAATCGCTACGAACACTAAGGTTTTGGAAGGATTTCGTCTTGCGCGCGCGAATGTCCACTTTACCTTATTTTTTGCAAGGGATTCTTGAAGTTTGGTTATGTTAGAACAAGAAATGTCCACTTTGCCTTATTTTTTGCAAGGGAAAACCGCCCGTAACAAAACAACCGGATCCGGACCAACCCGTTTTGCCGGAGACTTCCTCACGAAAATGATGAAAACATGGCTGCGGCCTAGGCGCGGCGAGGGGGCCGTGCACCAGGGGTCCCAACAATAATTATTCTTTAGAAGTAATAATGTTCAAAACAACAAAAAACAACAAAAACAACATCAACATCAACGACAACCACAACGACAACGACGACGAGGACGACGACGACGACAACCATTCCAACAACAACCACACCACCAAGCAAAAATAACAACACCAACCATTACAGCAACAGCAACAATGAAAACAACAACGACGACAACGACAACAACGACGGCGACGTCAACAACAACCATTAAAACAACAACCACAACAACATCAACACCAACAACAACCACTACAACAACAGCAGCAGCAACAACTACGACGACGACGACGACAACGGCTCCCGCCTGATACCTCCTCACCATGTATTCACAAATCGCGCTCTCGCGCGGGACTTCGAGTGGCGCTCTCGCGTGGGACTTCCTCGAGAGAGAGAGAGAGAGAGAGAGAGAAAAACAAAAAAAAATCTAGCAATGTCGTAATCCAGTCGCAGGGAAGTTCTCTCCCTCTGGCCCCTCCCGCGCCGGGGGTGGGGGCCCCAGGGGGGGTCGCGAATGGGGGTCCCTGGGGGGGCCCCAGGTCAGCTGCGCATGCCGGCGGGCCTCGGGGCCATGGGAACGTGCCAAGACGGGCCGGGAGGGCCCCAAGAGGCCTCAGGGACGGCCCAGTCGCCAAACGATGGGTCCAAAACGCCATGACGCCCTCCAGACTGCCCAGGAGGCCTCCCAGACGCCACTGATTTTCCGCTGGCTCCTGTAAGTTGGGCGTTCTCGCCCAAGAGGGCTCCAAGAGGGCCCCCAAAAACAGCCCCAGGGGACCCCAAGACAGCCCAAACACCTCCGAGACGGCCCAAAAGGCCCCCAAGCTGGCTCCAAGACCCTGCTCTGACGGGAACCCGAAAGGACATTTCCAGCCCTCGGCCCCGAGAGGCAGGCTCCCAGGAGACCCCAAGAGGTTCCCAAGAGGCCCCAGGAGACCTACAAGAGGTCCCCAGGAAGCCCGAAGTGGCCCCCGAGAGGCTAACAAGAGGCCCCAAAATTCCTCCCCAGAGGCCCCCCAGAGCCGTCCGAAGAGACCCCAAGAAGTATCCTTGATGACTCTTGCCCACGTCAGCGTCGTCGTCGTCGCCGCCGCCGCCGCCGTTGTCGTCGTCGTCGTCGTCTCTCTTCAGAGTCGGCGGCACCGGCCGCAAGGCCTTCGCAATACACGTGGCAGGCAACAAAGATATGCCTCCGAAGGAGTACCACCGAAGACGGAGAGGGCGGGCACCGAGGGTTTGGGGCATACGTGCGGAATGGCACGCGAGCAGACAGGAGGGAACAGTCTGAAAATGATTGGCATTGCTGCTGTGCTTGCGCTTCGGCTCCTGGTTGACAATCCTCGTAGACAACACAACCGCCGCCGACTGGCGTGGACACTGGCGTGGACACTGGCGTGGACACTGGCGTGGACGGCGTGGTCGCCCTGGCGAGGTAGAGCACTGCGGCGCTGGCAAGGAGCTTCGCGGCCAGAGCCATCGTGCTCGCGGGCCGACCCGGCGGGACCCGTCTGGCTGCAGCCGCGCAACTCGGGTCGCTGCAGTAAGCCTTACGCTCGAGCAGAACTGCCGTGGAGCAGTGTAGGAGGAGGAGGGGGAGGAGGAGGAGGAGGAGGAGGAGGAGGAGGAGGAGGAGGAGGAGGAGGAGGAGGAGGGCTAAGATCAACGATCAAAGATCAGGCCAAGGAGGTCTTCGGCAAGCCAGATGAGGAGCACGCCGGCACTGCTCTGTGCTCGAGAGCGTTACAGTCAGACATATGCTGGACAAAATGGCAGGGCGGACCATGTCGAATGCACCGCATGCGACGTGGAGTCGTATTTCACACTGGAACCATCGCGCGCTTCGTGCGCGCTCAAGTCCTAGTCGATCCCACACCCATGAGCACTCGGAGTCCAGTCGCGTCCTCTTTACTTCTCGAGCTGCCTCTGGGTAGTCTTGCAGGCTTCTTGGGGTGCCTTGACCTCAATATGTGCATGGACACCTCCTTGGAATCTACATGGGAACCTCGGCCTTGGAATTTCATGGGTACCCAAACTTCAAAAAAAAGCATGGGCACCTCGACCTCGAAATTTGCATGGGTACCTGAATCTCCAAAATTGCATGGGAGTCTCGGCCTCAGAGCTTACATGGGCGCCGCGGTCACCTGGGAACCGCAGGGCGGAGGCGAGGAAACACAAATTCCTGCATCCTCCTCCGCCCAATCCTCCGCCTCTTCCTCTTCCACCTCCTCGGCCCTCCTCCTCTTCCTCCTCCTCGCAGTTGATTCGGCAGATCACGAGTCATGATACATTGCATGGAGCGTTGCAAAACAATTCTTCGTGCAGGCGGCGCTCACTTATTGGTTAGGGCGTGTTGAGTGCGGTGGGCCAGTGGCGGAAGGGTGCTGATGGAGCGCGTCAGGCGTTGGCAAATATGGTGGATCAAGCGGTGCATGTCCTCAAGCCGTTAAAGGCTGCCAATGCCTCCTCGAGTCGTCCGGCAAAAGGCTGAAAACGGCTCTCCTCCCTCATCCCTCCTCGTACTCCTCCTCCTCCTCCTCCTCCGCCTCCTCCTCCTCCCCCCGTCCTCCTCCCCCCATCCTCCTCCTCCTCGTCATCCTCCTCCCTTCCGTTTCCATGTACATAACTCCTCCCTGTGTCACCCCGAGGCTGGTCGAAAGTGCGGTGTGGGCGTTTCTCCTGAGACTTCGTTACGCTTATGAACCTGAGCTTCAAGACCAGCAACAGCTTCACGAATGGAGGGCGGGCTGTTTTCAGAATGTGGCTCTCGCCTGAGCGGCGCGCAACCTCTTTTTTAAAAATCTGCATGATTTTACGTTTTGAGGGCGGGAGGTTCTCAAAAGCTCTCGCCTTGGCGCCACACACATTCGTTGTTCAATCAAAACGGAAGGGGTTCACATACTGAGGGCGGGCCATTTTCAAAATGCGGATCTCGCCTTAGCGCCGCACACATTCGTTTTAAGAAATTAAAAGTTTCACGGATTGAGGGCGGGTGGCTTTCAAAATATGGCTCTCGTTTGAACTCCGCGCACATTCGTTTTAAGAAGTTGAATTGAGGTCGGGACGTTTTCAAAATGTCAATTTCACTTTAGCGCCGCGCACATTCGTATTCAAAGAATATAGGAGCTTCACGGAGTGAGGGCGGTTCCTTTTCAAAATGTGGGTCTCGTCTTATCGTCGCGCACATTCAAGTATTTACCAACTTGTCACGGATCCCCATGGTCTGCGTACCCGAGTTCGTGTTTTGGAACGGGTCATGACAATGATCCAAAAAAGGTGCGCGTGTGTGTGTGTATATTGTCCCCTCGTGATTTGATCCTGGACCCCCATCTGGGCAGGATCTGGGCCACTACCCCGGACTGCCAGTGGCATAGACATACCTGGATTACCTGATCGATATGTTGGGAGCCGGCGCTGGATTGGACCATGCTGCAAACTCGTATCTTCTGCCATTTATATTGTATTGGTGTTTCGGGTGTGGGATTCGGGATCCGTGGAAGAAAAATGCTTTTGTTCAGGACTTTGCTGCTGACAATCCTCGCACTCCTCGCCCCTAGGCGGGAAGTACTTGGACCAAAGGTGCAACGCGCGTTGCACTCTCCCCCTACTTCGCTGCTACTGCTGTCTTCTGTTCCGCTGGGCATGGCGGACAAGTCCTGCCCCCCCTCGGGAGCATGAGGGCGGAAACCGTGACAGCACAGACCCTGGAATTCAGGATGTTACTGGGGAACCTGTATACCTCACCTGCTGACTGCTGCTACCCGAATCGCAGACCGCACAGGCAAGGGGGGGAGAGAGGAGAGAAGAGGGGAGAGAGAGAAGAGTGCCCGGAGTCCGGTGCAAGCTATCGTGTCTATGTTACTGCATGCGCTACATGTGGAAAGTATGACTGCTACGAAATGGGGGGGAGCAACGTATCCTTCCCCTGCTGCTGCCTACTGCTACAAGGTGCATAACTGCTGACGCGCTCAGCCCGTCCAGACCGTTACGCGGGCCACTGGAACTCCCAAACGACTGACGTGCTCATGCGCGTGCTTCACGCTCGGGCGCGTGCATGGTTACAGTAACAAATCCTCTGGCGCAGTCGCACACATAGAACAGCAACACGTGGTGCGAAGTCCCCCTCCGGGGCTTCATCATCGGCTCTTGGGGCGCCATTCGGGCCGTATTCAAGCAATTTTGAAGCCCCTTGCGGTTCTCTTCGGGTCCTCTTTGGAGCCCAGGGGGCCCCATTGGGGTTGGCGGACATCTGAAGCCTCAGTCACGCTTGCCCCTCTTAGGCCCTAACAGTCGATAAGAGAAGATCTAGGGGTTGGTCCCCTCGCGCCGCTCCGATCAACGCTTCTGTCATCCAGGGGGTGGTAAGTGCTCGCGCTCGAAAAACAGCGCGCGTCATCTTCATAACCAACTGAACACGTCTTGCAAACACAATGGGTGGACATGAGGTGTCCACCGCCCATCGCGCCAACACAACGACACGGCGAAGCGCATCCCACAAATCGGCAACCCTCTCCCCCACGAACCCAAAATCGACGGCGGCCGCACGCGAAACAGCGTGCGGAGGACAATATGAAGACACGTCAGCTTTGAGTTTGTGGGGGGGGGGGGCGGGACATACGTTATGCAAGATGTTCCTCAACATCGCGTGATATGGTCAAAATGCAGAGGCCGAACGGTCATTCACTGCCCCTGGGTGCGTGGCTGAAATGGGATTCCGCGATGCGGATTCGTGTTGTTGTTGGTGGTGCTGGTTGTTGCTGCTGTTGACGTTGTTGAATCCTCATGTGTAGCTGATAACTACGGTTGGTCCCCCCTTCTGGTTACCATTGTGCTCTTTGATTGAAATGCTTCCCCCGGGGCTCGTGCCCTGTTCATTATCGGGAAAAATCACTAGGGTCAAACTGCGTTCTTGGTCCCCGGAATACAACAACAACGGTTACCGCTTAAGACTTCCTCCCACTTTAGTAAGGACCCCGGCTCCCGCCTGAGACACCCTCGCATGTTTATCAGGAGTCGCGCCCTCGCTTGAGACTTCCTTACAATCTATGAAGCAATCGCTTTCTCGGCGCTCTGCAACCGCGCGTCCGCTGGAGACTTGCTTGTACTTTACTCCAGAATCGCGCTCTTGCGCTGGATTCCCCCGCGCGACTTACTCAAGCGCCGCGCTCCCGACACTCAGGCACCCACGAGTAGCGCTCACGCTCAGGACTCCCTCAGAACTTACTTGAGAATCGGAATTTCGCTGCCCTTTTTTATGGCCCCGTTGCCGACCTTCGTGGCCTCCTCGCTGCCCTTCGTGGACCCGTTGCAGCCCGTCGCGGCCCCCTCGCTGCTGTTCGTAGCCCCGTTGCAACCCTTCGTGGCCCCCTCGCTGCCCTTCGTGGCCCCGTTGCGGCCCTTCGTGGCCCCCTCGTTGCTATTCGTGGCCCAGTTGCAACACTTCGTGGCCCCGTCGCTGTCATTCGTGGCTTCGTTGCAGCCCTTCGTGGCCCCCCCGCTGCCGTCCGTGGCCCCGTCGCAGCCCTCAGTGGCCCCCTCGCTGCCCTTCGTGGCCCCGTTGCGGCCCTTCCTGGCCCCCTCGCTGCCCTTTCGTGGCCCCGTGGCACCCCTTCGCGGCCCCCTCGCTGCCCTTGGCGGCCCCGTTGCAGCCCTTCGTGGCCCCCTCGTGGCCCTTCGTGGCCCCGTCGGTGCCCTCAGTGGCCCCGCCCTTGCCCCCTGCGGCCCAATATGCGCATGCCATTCGTGGCCCCCGTTCGTTCGCGCCCTTCGTGGTCCAATCTGCATGCCCTTCGTGGCCCCGCTGTCGCCCTGTGCGACCCCCATCGCTGCCCTACGCGGCCCCGTTGCCACCCTGAGTGGGCCCGTTGCTGCCCTTTTTGGCCCCGCATCATCTGCCCTTCGTGGCCCCCGCTCATTTGCGCCCTTCGTGGCCCCATACGCATGCCCTTCGTGGCCACGCTGTCGCCCTTAGTGGCCCCCTTCCTGCCCTTCGCGGCCCCGCTGTCGCTCTCGCTTTCGTTCTCGCTCTCGTTTTCGCTCGTCGTCGTCATCGTGGTCGGTCCTCTGTCCGTCCCTCTTGGGGTCGGGATGCTGCCGATCAGTGCTACCGCTGGCCAGGCCGACGGTCCGCGGCCGCCCCGCCACTTGCCGGGGCCCAGCATGCAGGAAAGAAATATATACCCCCCCCCCCCCCAAACAAAAAAAAGGTACGATCGAAGACGAAGAGAGCGGCACGATCGAAGACGAAGAGAGCGGGTATCGAGGGCTTGGGGAATACACGTTGAATGACACTCGAGCAGGTAAGGGCGTTGTTGTTGCTGTTGTTGTCGGTGTTGCTGCTGTTGGTGATGTTGTTGTTGGTGTTGGTATTGTTGTTGTTGTGTGACTGTTGTTGTTGCTGGTGTTGCTGCTGCTGTTATTGCTGTTGAATGCAATTACTAAATAATGAATATTGTTGGACCCCCAAGCACTTTGGCGCTCTCGCCTCGGCGCCGGATACATGTTGATTGGAAATGAGGTTCACGCTCGAGCGGTTTGGGGGGGGGCCAAAACAGGCCCCCACCAACAA